TCCTCCCCCTCCTCGTCCTCCTTCTCCCCCTCGACCCTCCCCCCCCTCCTCCTCCTCCTCCTCCTCCTCCTCCTCCTCCTCCTCCTCCTCCATCACCATCACCATCATTCATCATCATCATCAGCATCAGCATCATCATCATCATCATCATCATCATCATCATCATCATCATCATCATCATCATCATCATCATCATCATCATCATCATCATCATCATCATCATCATCAGATCATTTTCCTCATGATCCTCCTCCTTCTCCTCCTCCTCCTTCTCCTCCTCCTCCCCCTCCTCCTTCTTCTCCTCCTCCTCCTCCTCTTCCTCCTCCTCCTCCTCTTATTGTCCCTTGTGGCCATGCCTGGAACGGAAATTCGGGTTGTTATTCCTGGCGCGCACATCGATCGGCCACGCGGCAGGGACACGTCTATCGGCCGCGTGGTCGGACAAGTCGCATGTCGAATATGATGAGTTGCCGCAGGTGTTTACGAAAACGCGCACCTTCCGCACCATCAAAAGAGTTCCTTCTCCTCTCCTCATCCCGCGCTCGCCCCCTGGAGGCGGAGCTCTGGCTAACCCCGCGGGGGCGGGCCGGAACTTCGCCCCCTCCGCTTCTCTCTTCCTCTTTCTCCCGTGCGCGCCGTGAATCGGGGCGCTCTGACCCAGGCCTCCCCCAGGCCAGGTGGACAGCACGCGTTGTTCTGCGACGCTCGGCGCTGGCGGTCGCCATCCCCCTTTCTGCCCTCACCCCCCCCCATCCGGCCACTTGGCTGCGGCCCCAAGTCGGCACCTACGTGCGATTTGGGCTACACCGGCCCATGCGGTAATTTTTGGTGCGCCCGCCCGCCCATTCTCGCACGGCGGAGGTGCCTTCTGGCGCGGCGGTGGAAATGAGGCGCGTATTGACGCTATCGTGTTGGGTTCGTTTGTCTCCTCTCCCTTCCTCCCCTCTCCTCTCCTCTCCTTCCGCTGCCGCCGCTGCCGCTAACCGCGCACGGGCGATAATACATCAGACCCCCCCCTTCCCCCCTCTATTTGTATTATCCCCGTCCAACAGGTGTTTATTGTGGAGATAGGCGCGCAGGCCGTACTTGGTAATCCACGGGGGAAGTTGCGAATCGAAGTTGTTATCATCTCATGCTGACTACCAGCATCATCAAAAACGCTGAGCATCTCACCCCACCTGCGTCCGCAATCACGAGCGTGTGGCAGGGCTGCGGGATTCTCACCAGGTCAGCTTGCCCAAGTTACGAACATGCGGCAGGGCCATGGCATCATCATTTTCTCATCCGTTTCCGAGTCAGGAACGTGCGACAGGGCCATGGGGACCGATTGGATTTTGATTGTACCTGCGCTTTTCGAGCAGGCAGGGCACTGGAGTGAATTACTTGTTTAGCGCACCCCTCACACGGTTCGTGGCCCTTCCTCCTCCTCCTCATCCTCTTCCTCCTCCTTCTCCTCCTCCTGTTCCTCCTGTGCCCCCGCAGTTGCCCAGGCCCGAGCTTCCCCGAGACTCCGACACTCCACGCTGTCGAGCCTGTTCGAGGCGCCGAGCCTCTTCGCCCCAGGGGCAGCGATATGGGGGGGATAGGCATGCCGAACCTGCCCAGGAGCGTGCGGATGCATCGCCGATGCATCGGCGATGTATCGCCGATTCCAGGTCGATGTCCCCAAAAAGATGCCGATCCCCCCACATCGTTGCCCCTGAATGCGTCGCGAGCCTCAGCCATGTCCCAGGCCGCCGAGCGCGCCGCGGCGGCAAGACCCCCCGTCGAGGCCCTCAAGCAAGCGGTGGCCCAGAGCCCGAACTCGAACGAGATCCTCGAACGCGTGACCAATCTGAACGCTGCAATCCTCGACAAACTCTCGTTCGCCGCCGACAAGATAGCGATCGCCGAGAAGCGCCGGCGCCAATCGAGCGCGCAGGGGACGGACGCAGCGAGGACGACGGCTTGCTCTCTCAAGGCCGAAAACGCCTCGTGGTCAAGCGGCGCCCAGCAAGCCGTCCCCAAGATGTTCTACAACGGCGGGCCCCTCAAGAACATCGAGTACGGCCACATCTTCAACGAGAAGGACAAGAGGCGCATCGAGCTGGCCGTGGCGCTGTTCTACAAGACCCAGAACGAGAATGACGAGCACGTCTTGGACATCATCGAGAATCACGGAGAGCCGCCCGAGGACCTCTTCTGGCTCACGCCGAGCTTCAAGGCCAAGATGCACGAGCTTGCCAAGAAGAAGGACGACGAACTCGGCTCCGAGAGCGTCAAGAGCCTCACCCGCGGCTCCTGCACCGAGCGCGTCGGCGAGGCCCTCCCCGACATCCCCGCCGAGCTCCTCCACCTCCACGACCTAGTGCCGCCGATCAACGAGAGGTTCGAGCCCGTCGAGAAGTGGGGCGAGGTGCATTCCGGCGTGAATGCCGAGCAGCTCTTCGAGTTGATTCCAAGCAAGGCCAAGCAGTGCGTCACTTGGTGCCGCGGTAACGGCGCGGTCTCGAGCAGCGGCGGGACCGCCGAGGCCACCGCGCAAGCGGTCGCCAAGTGGCGCTGGACCGTCGAGAGGACAGCCGACATGACGCACGAGCTCCAGGGGCGGAACAACCAGGACAAGCGCTCCTAGCCCGACTACTCGAAAAGCGTCAAGCAGCAGGAGTTCGAGACAACGCTTCTCGACAGACACATCAAGCTGAATTTCAAGACGTTCACCAGGACCCACGCCGATTACGACCAGGTCGTCATGGACAAGCGCGAGGGCGAAAGGAGCCAGGCCGACGCATCGGCTGAGCCAGAGACCGCCGCGTTCATGCTCGTGGACGCCTGAGAGCCGGAGATACGAGCGCCCCGAGCCAAGCGTTCCCATGTTTTTCGCTACGAGGGCGCCTTTTCGGGGCACGCGCTCGAGCCCCATCTGCTTTTCAAGTTCCAAGAGGGCGTTCGAGCGCGCGCGAGTGGTGTTCCAAGCTGCGGGGCACTGCTCCCCCCTTCTCGCCGGGTGGCCCTCGGTCAAGCATCAAGCAGTCGAGCAGGCTCGATCCCCCATCCTCAAGTCGAGGACCAGAGATCTTGAGTCCGAGCATCTTCGAGCCCCTTAGATCCTAGATCCGAGGATCGCCGGGCTGAGGCTCGAAGATCTCAGGTTCTCGATCCGAGGATCGAGGACCGAGCCTCGGCGATCCTGGGTCGCCACCGTCGCCGTCGTCAGGCCCAGGCCGCCATCGACGAGGCTAGATCTTCGGACGAAGATCCGAGATCTAGCCTGGTCGTGGGCCAGAGTCGACGCACCAGAGTCCACCCGCGTGGTAAGGATACACAAGTGCCGCGACGCTGCGAGGCCTCGACCGCCTGGTGCCCAAGAGATACCGCTGGTTCGCCACGGCGTTGCGGCGCTGCGACGACCACGACCGCGCGCCCGTCGAGCTCTGCGTCTTCTGGAGGCTGCCCCACAGGACCCAGAGCGAGATGAACGCCGAGGCGAGCACCGAAGACCGCATCGAGGACGTCCAGGACATGGCCCACGGCCACCTCGAACTGGTGGAGGAGTAGCTGTCGGGCGCCCGCAACCGCGCCGAGGAGGAGACCGCCGCGGTCCGCGCCGACGACGGCGCCGCGGCAGCGGAGACCGCGCGCGGAAAGGGTAAAAACCTGAGGCGTCGCAGGGAGTTCAAATCGAGTGCCCCGAAAACATATAAAAGCACATGTTTGTGCAACGTCAGTTGTCAAAAAAAACTGCGCTCGCGCTCTAGCGAAGCCTTAAAAAACTCAGACGTATATCGCCATGCTCATTAATGTCTGCCAAACAGGCCACTCGCGCCGCATGTCAAAATCATTCGAACGCCCTTGCGCGCTTGCTGGGGGGGGGGGGGGCCACGATCTGTTTCAAATAAGATCACGCGGGCCACTCTCGCGCGTCGACCACCCGCGCATGTCGACCTCCTTCGAAACCTTCATCGCCGACGCGAGGTCGCCATCATCGTCGCCGGCGTGATCAGCATCGGCGCCGTCGTTGGCCATTTCGTCGCCGTTGCCATCATCGTCTCCAGCGCCGACACGATCATCACCGTGCCCACCGTTGCCGACGTTGCCATGAGACCGCGCCCGCCCAAGTCGCCGACTCGCACGGAAGTGCCCGCTGGAAGGTGCCAAGAGGGCGGGCAGCGCCACCTTAGCCGCGTCGGTCGCGCGAAAACTAGCTGACCGCTGCGCGCGCGAGCAGGCGCGGGCTAGCGCGGCCGCAGAGATCCACAAGCCAACACAATGCACCACATAGATTGCACAGCAAAAGGGGAAACAGAAACACATTACATCGCAGAGGCTGCACAATATTGTTGTATAACGCAGAGTGCCCCCCGCAGAGATTGCACAGCACAGATTGTGCAACCTTAGTGCGCGACGTATATCGCATAGAATTGTTTGTGCAAGGTGCGACGCCCAGCGTGGGACTGTAACTGTATACAAGAAAATGCGCGGCACATGTATTGCACCACGTCGGTTGTATCGAACAGCTGAGATTTCAAACTATATACAGCGCAAGCGTACATTGCAGCACATAGACTGTTCCACAACGACTGCTCAACATACATTGCACAACACGAATTGCACGACAGACGACTGCATAACTTGGAATGCGCCGCGTAGATTGCACCACATAGGTTGAACAATATATATATATATGTATATATATATATATTGCACGACCTAAGTATCACAGCATACATGGCATCACCGAGGTTGACCCACACCGGATGCGCAACAAAGTTTGCACAACATGAATTGCATGTCAGAGCATGTCATAGCAAAGGTTACGTTCGCGTTGATCGCACCAGATAATTTGCCCCACATACATGGCACAACGCATATTGCTAGAACACACACACACACTGTTTGGGATCCTCGATGGCTAGCACTTGATACGGATTCGTGTACTCGGCGCATGTTGGTGCACCGCGTGATGGGATGAGAATGCGGGTTCCTGGACGGACCGTAGCCACTTGGCTCAATATTTTGTGATGTTCGGCTCTTTGCAGGCCCGTTGTGTGGCAATGGGCTCAACGGTTGCAATGAACAGCGACGCGGACGCAGTGGCACAGCACGGTGACGAAGTCGTTGGCTGCGTCACTGGCGAAGCGGAGGTCTCGGTCGAGTCGAAGGACGAAGCCCGTTGCGTCAGTGGCGACACGGAACCCCACGCTGTTCTGGAGGCAGCTGGAGCAGTAGCAAGTCGCGCCAAGCTTGCAGCGGCCGAGGCGAATGACGACGCGTCGCTGGATGGCCCCTGGGGCGACGCAGGCGGCGTGGCCGAGACAAGGAACGCCCGGCCGGTCGTCCAGAGGGTTTCCGACATCAGGCCCGAGCAGCAGGGCATCACCTTGCGTGTGAGGATCGCGAAGGTTGCAGAGTCAAATGAGGAAGGTGACATGGAAGCATGCTGTGCAGATGCCTCGGGCGCGGTGACTCTCCTCTTGACGTCCGAGGACGCAGAGTTCTGCGCCACAGTGGGCACGCCAGTCTTGGTTCAGGCTGGTCAGGTACTAATGCGCGGCGCAGGGATGTACAAGCACATTGGCGTCGCAGGGAAACTCTCTGCAAGCGGGGAAGCGGTCTTAGGAGAGATCAACACCGCGAACAACATCTCGGCTGTAGAGTACGAGCAGGTGGGGGATGATGTCCCAGCTCGCGAGAGAAATAGGATCTGCAATCACCTGATTTTGTCTCCTCCGAATATCCATCGACGTGGAAACGGGCGTGGAAACGGACAGCGGAAGTGGTGATACATTGTCGTCGACATGTGGTACCTCGTCATACGCAAGTACTGACTTGATATGAGTTGGTGCACCGTGTTGCGATTAGGAACGTAGGGACGTGGACTTCGATGAACGTAGGCACGTTGGATTCGTGGGACGTGAGACGTATGGACCCGACAAAAAAAACAACACATCGGGGCCAACGGCTCAGACATATGCAGTTGTGGGTAACGCAGTTGTGAGTATCGTCCTCGGTGAAGCTCCCTATGGGGCCACGAAGCGTGTGAGGGGTGTGCCGACATGGACATGCGGTGGGCGGGGAGTTGCATGTGAACCTTGCCGCTGGGGTCTTCGGTGGAGCTCCCTATTGGAGCCCCAGAACGTGTGAGAGGTGTTCCGAATGGACATGCGGTGGGCGGGGAGCCGCATGTGAACCCTGCCACTGGGCCCGTCGGTGGGGCTCTATACGGGGCCACGAAACGTGTGAAGGGTGTGCTGAAATTGTCGTGCGAAGGGCAGCGGCAAAGGTGGGAGAAGGAAGGAGCGGGAGGAGGTAGGAGGAAAGAGTGTCGCGGTGCGCTGTCTCTTCAAAACGGCGATCTAACACCACAGGCCGGTTTGGAGATTTGTTTGGCGAAGGGCCGAACCATAAGCGGTTGTACGTAACGCAGTATTGGGCATCGCCTTCGGTGGAGCTCCCTATGGGGCCACGAAACGTGTGCGTGTGTGTGTAGAAATGAGCCTACGACGCATGCCAATTGTGCTACTGCGATCTTCGGTGCAGCTCCCTATGGGGCCGCGAAACGTGTGAGGGGTGTACCGATATGGGCGGCGGGGACGCATGCGGACTCTGCAGCTGGGCCCTTCGGTGGAGCTCCTTGTAGGGGCAACGAAACGTGTGAGGGTATGCTCAAAATGTGTGGCGGGGACGCATGTGGACGGTGCCACTGGGGCCTTCGGTACAGCTCTGTACGGGGCCACGAAGCACGTGAGCGGTGCGCCGAAATCGGTGGCGGGGCCGGATGCTGACGGTGCCATGGGAGCCTTCGGTAAAGCTCCATATGGGTTCACGAAGCGTGTGAGGGGTGTGCCGACATAAGCGGCGGGGACGCATGCGGACGCTGCCGCTGGGTCCTTCGGTGGAGCTCCCTATAGAGCCACGAAACGTGCGAGGGGTGTGCCGAAATGGGGAGCGGGGGCGCATGCGGACGATGCCACTGGGCCCTTCGGTTGAGCTCCCTATGGGGCCACGTACCGTGCGAGGGGTGTGCCGAAAATGTGTGACGGGGACGCGTGCGAGCTGCGCCACTGGGACCTTCGGAGCAGCTCTCTTTGGGGGCACGAAGCCTGTGAGGGGTGAGCCGAAATGAGCGGGAGGGACGCATGCGAACGGTGCCACTGGGATCTTCGGTGCGCGAAACGTGTGAGGGGTGTGCCGACATGGGCGGCGGGGACGCATGCGAACGGTGCTTTTAGGACTTTCAGTGGAGCTCCGTACGGGGCCACGAATCGTGTGAGGGGTATGCCGAAGTGGGTAGCGGAGACGCATGCGGACGGTGCCATTGGGCCCTTCGGTGGAGCTCCCTATGGGGCCACGAAACGTGTGAGGGGTGTGCCGAAAATGTGTGACGGGGACGCGTGCGAGCTGCGCCACTGGGACCTTCGGAGCAGCTCTCTTTGGGGGCACGAAGCCTGTGAGGGTTGTGCCGAAATGAGCGGGAGGGACGCATGCGAACGGTGCCACTGGATCTTCGGTGCAGCTCCCTATGGGGCTGCGAAACGTGTGAGGGGTATACCGACATGGACGGCGGGGAAGCATGCGAACGGTGCCTTTGGGACCTTCAGTGAAGCTCCTTACGGGGCCACGAATCGTGTGAGGGGTATGCCGAAGTGGGTAGCGGAGACGCATGCGGACGATGCCACTGGGACTTTCGACGGAAGTCCCCACCTGGCCACGAAGCATGTGAAGGGTGTGTTGAAACGGTTGACATGCGCAGGGCAGAAGTAAGGATCGGGGAGGGAGCGGGAAGAGGAGATGGGAGGGACGCAGAGCGCTGTCTCTTCAAAGCGAGACCCCAATACCACAGGATGATTGTGACAAACATTTTAGCGAAGGGCCCAACCACATGCAGTTGCGAGTATCGCGGTGCACGTGAGATGAAGGAGCGGACACAGGGAAGAGCGGACATGGGCGAGCGGGGAGGCGGTCGTTTGGGTTTGCCCGTGTCATCGCCAGCTCTTCCTCCTGTCCGCTTGATTCCGTTGTGCGCTGCGATCCTGCCCGCCCCGCCCGCGATGGCCTGAGCCCCGAGCGAAGCCGTTTCATCGCTCTCTGCTCTGCGTGCTCCGCCCTGGCCTGGCCCTCGGCAGAGCGTTGCGCGACGTCCCCGCGACGCACGGCGGCCGCCCAAAAGGAGCCCCCGGCGACGCGCGCGGGCCGTCCGCGGCGCGGGGGAAAACAGAATGTGGCGGCCGACAGCGGGCGAGGCGCTGGGCAGGGCGCGTCGGAGCCGGGCAGCTCCTGGGGGCAGGGTGCGGGGGAGTTCCCGCGACGCGTGCTGGTCGCCCCGACGAGAGGATTTCAGCGGCTCGCGCGGGCAGTCCGCGGCACGAGGCCAAGCAATTGGACTGTTGACAGAAGGCGAGGCTTGGTCGGGCCACGATGCAGACGCCGAAACGTGTGGGGTGTGTGCCGGAATGGACATGCAACGGGCGGGGAACCGCACGTACACCCTGCCACTGGGGCCTCCAGTGAAACTCCCCAAAGGGCCACGAGGCGCGTGACGGGCGTGCCTACATGGACATGAGGTGGGCGGGGGGCCGCCGGCGAACCCTGCCACTGGGGCGTGCGGTGGAGCTCCTGATGGGGTCGAGAAGCGTGTGAGGGGCTTGCCGACATGAGCTTGCAGTGGGCGGGGAGCTCCGTATGGGGCCACGACACGTGTGGGGGGTATGCCGAAATCGACGTGCGGTGGGCGGGGGGCCACACGTGTACCCTGCCACTGGGGCCTTTGGTGGAGCACCCTGTGGGGCCACATGTGAAACCTGCGACTAGGGCCTTCGGTGGAGCTACGAAGCTTTTGATGGGTGTTGAGGGGAGTGGCGGAATTGTCGCGTGGGGGGCAGAGGCAGGAGCGGGCGGAAGGGCGAACGGGAGGAGAAAGGACATCGGTTTCGGTTTCGTGTTCGTGCGTGCCGTGCGTGCGGGCGAGGCGAAGCTGCGTGGGCGGGCGAGAGGAAAGTCTCCTGTGGCTGAGGCGCGGCCGGACCAAATGATTCTCCCTCCGGCAAGCGGTGTCCCGCGGTGTCCCGCCGGTGTCCCGCCGGTGTCCCACTTGTGGCTGGGTCCTGGCCGGACCAAATGGTTCTCCCTCCGACAAGCAGTGGCCCGCAGTGTCCCGCCGGTGTGCCGCCGGTGTCCCGGTGTCCCACTGGTGCGAAAACGATAGTGAGACCGATGACGAAATCGATTGTGAAATCGATAGTGAGATCGATAGTGAGACCGATAGTGAGATCGATCGCGAGATCGATAGTAAGATCGATAGTGAGATGAATAGTGATAACGATTGTGAGATCGAGTGATATCGATGGGGAGATCGATAGTGGGATCGATAGCGAGATCCAGAGTGAGATCGACAGTGTAATCGATCGAGCGAGATCGATAGTTGGATCGGTGGTCCCAAGAGACAGCGGCAACGCAACAATCACCATTGTTGCCCAGTGCTGCCCCCCCTCTCCCCCCAACCTCCTTACATCTCAGGCCGATAGTTTTTTCCTCCAGGACTAAACATATAAGAACAGCAATGGAACCAATTGGATCCCTCTTCGGGTGTGGGAGAGTCTCGTGGATCCTATTTCTCTGTTGCGCGGATCGAATTTCCTGTGTGTGAAAAAACGATGGATCCATTTACTTCCCGGGAATACATTCATAATAATAATTAACATCCGGGACCCAGGGGAAATGGGATCCGCGGAGCACCGCAAATGAAGCACCATGCTATCCACGGAGCTGTGGATCTGCAGACCAATGCTATGATTCTACGGGGGGGGGGGGGGGGCCTTCCCAGGATGAAGAGGGGAAGGAGGAGGGAACAGGCAAGAGGAGGTGGGAGGATATCAGAGGGGACGCACGGGGGGAGACAGGAGGAACAATCAGGGAAGAGAGGGGGGGAGGAAGAAAGAAGAGAAGGAGGAGGAGAAGGAGGATGAGGGAGGAGGGAGGTGAGAGGAGGGAGGCGGACGGACGAAGGAGGAAGGAAGAGGAGGGAGGAGGTGGGAGGAGGAGGGGGGAAGTGGGAGGAGGAGGAAAGAAAGGGATGAGGGAGGCCGAGGACACACAAGCAAAGTGTCCAAGTCGGAAGCTCGAGCGCCACAGCGGGCCCGGCCACCTCCCTTCACTTCTCCCATAACATGTGGTCGCTCGAGCGCCACAGCGGGCTTGGCCATCCCCCGAAATTTCTCCCATCACATAAGTTTGCTCGAGCGCCGCAGCGGGCCCGGCCAAGTCCCGCATCCCCACCCATAACATAGTTACCCCACCTCGAAGCGAACGCTCCATGTATCCGCTCACCTGAACGGCGTGTCGCTTCCGACATGTGGGGTCCCGACTCACGTTTCGCCAGTGCGACAGGCTCAGGCGAGGCAGTAAAATGTTTAGATGTGTTTTTCGTATTATTCGAGTGCTGTGCCGAAATCAGGTTCCGACCATTTTAGAACACCCGATCAACTCGCGAATCTGGCACACGCCCGAGCTTATGAATATCATGCAACGATATAGGGGACACACCCGAGTTTTTGACCAGCGTCCGTTTGGGCGGAACTGGCGGAAGCGTACGAGGCTGGCTTTCTTTTTCATAGATAAAGCAGCCACAGAAAAAATCTAGCGTAGATGCAAGGACAGCCTTGGTTTGTGTAGCCGCACAAGCCGCAAGCATTTCGTGTTCGAGGGGGCGGCACCATCAGGCGCCGAATGGACAGCCATCGCAGCCTCCTACCCTCCAGCTCTGTGTAAGGCCATGGTCCAGTCGCCTCTTTCCCATGAGCGCGATTGGATCGCTACTCTAGTTTTTGGCTAACGCCGGCCTTCTGCCCCGCCATTTTTTCAATGCGTGTGTTTTTTCTTGTTTCCCTGTCCCGCCCGTCCCTGGGAACCTTCACGGGTTTGGGAGTTCTTGAGCGGGAGCCTTCTTACCTCTCAGGCTGCCGCCAGTCTGTGCACTGACCGGCTGGCGCCCAGGTCGCGCCGACGCGTGGCACCTTGTAGCAGAAACTGTCCCACGAGAAAAATACAACAGCACCTGTGTGTGCTTGCGCGGGAAGGTGAGGGGTATTGTTCGGGTGGTGTCTCTTGTTACCATAATATATGTTCAATCCTCTTCTTCTCTCTTCCCTCCCTCCCTTGGCCCTCTCTCTCCTTTTGGGATGTCTTGAGCGGGAGCCTTCTTACCTTTCAGGCTCCCGCCAGTCTGTGCAGTGACTGGCTGGCGCCCAAGTCGCGTCGACGCGTGGCATTTTGTTGCAGAAGCTGTCCCCACGAGAAAAATAGAACAACATCTATATATGTATGTATATATGTATGTGTATCTATATATACACACATATATATATATATACGCGTAAACATATTTAAAAGTGTACACATGTCTATGCATATATTGTACATCGATATACGTACACAAATGCATGTGTTGTTGAATGGTGTCTGGCAGCGCGCGTCTGTCTTTGTGTTTACATGAGTTGGTTTGGGAACCCACGTCTGTCGATGCGTTTGCATCGTCATGGTTACATAAAAAGCGCTGCTTCGTATGAGTTCGACCTGTGCACGCCTGTGTTGTTTCTGGTATACTTCTGGTGAGGCGTATTGAAACAGATCTTGTGAGCTGCACGAGTCTGTGCACATGATACTAGTGGACAGGGATACAAGGGGGGCGGTACTGGGTAGGCTGGGACGGTTTGATTCCAGATTTGAATCGAACGATGAGGCAGAACCGTATGTAAATTGCCGTATCCCACGGGGGCGATATTTACCGCGTTCGGAAAGGTGGTAGAGCTTGCTCAACTTAAAACAGAAGAGTATGTGGAGCAGGCAATGTACAAGCTGTGCAGCCCATTCTTCTCAGGCCATCGCAAACATGGATCAAGGGGGCGTGGATTAGCGACGGGTCCCGTTTCCCGCGGGAATCGCTGATTTCCGCCGCGACCGCGCGTCAAATCCATGGATCGCTCATCCATGTTCGCGCGCCCCCGATCTTCGACAACTTGGAACATGCCATCCAGTGCGCGGGTCAGGCGCGAGGCAGTCACGGGGGTGCACCTGGCGAAAAACCGGGGACGCCAGCCAGCACACGAGGCGGGCACGAGGCGGGCCCTGGGCGAAAACACGGCAGAGTCAGCCAGCGCCTGCGGCGGGCACCGGGAAGACAACGGACGAAAATTCAGGAGTGCCAGCCAGCGCACGCAGCGGGCACGATGCGGCACGGGCAGGCAGCGAGCGAAGACCCCGAAGATCGGACCAACGATCTCGGAATAATCAATTTGTCGGGGGGTTATTTTGCAAGTGTCGTCTCGCCGGCATCGCGCCCCCCCCCCCGCGCAGGCGTCAGCATTTTCCTGTTCAACTACTCCGGCTACGGTCGCTCCTCAGGAGGGCGGGGTCCTACCACTATGTGGGTGCATGTGCCCCCACATGCCTGCGCCTTGTGCTCAGCGCCCGGCGCCTGGTTTGCGGCATCTGCGTCCAGCATTTGGGCACATTCCCGCGCGTGCACGAGGGCACGTCACCTGTTCACGCCCGCCTGCGTGTGCGCAGGTCCTCGCGTACAATGCACGCGCAGTCTTGATACTAAGGCCACAGTACTTGCAAGTGTCATGACATTCCATACGTGCAGAGGCATCGGCAATATCAGTACATTGCTAGCCTGGCGCGACCAGTGACCAGTGAATAGGCTCAGCTACGCTCGTGCGCTGCCACTGCGAATCACTGTCCAGTCGCAGCCTGGCTCGACACGTCCGTTGCATCAGACCGCCGCGTAAAGATGGTAGCTCGCACTTCCCAGCGTGGGCATCTACGCTCCCTGAGCTCCCATCGCCTGCGAAGCTGTGAAGAATCGACACGGCAAGCCTTTTCAGGCCCACGGATTTTCTTGGATCCCCAGAAACGCCCCCAGGACATCATGTCCCAAAGTCGCCACCACGCCTTTTTCAAAGAGCCGCTCTCCCGCGCGTACCTTGTCCGCCTCGTGACCAACCCACATCACCGCTCCTACACTTCACCACCCCCGCGTCTGCTGAGCACGTGTGAGTGTGTCGCAGAGCTTGTGTACTGCTGATTCTGCTTGTGTGGAGCAGCACGCTTTGGTGTAGTAGTGTGGCCCGTCCGTCAGCTTAGCGTAACAGCGATATCAGTAGGGGAACGAACAATGGCATAAATATACAAACTCGGATTTCCGCGCGGATTGCTCGGATCGGCGATGGACCCCCCTCCATGGCGCGCGGAGCGCGCCAGCGGCGGCGCCGGAGGATCCGCCAGGGGTGCCCAGCGCCGATCCGGGAAATCCGCGCGGACGTCCGAGTGTTTATGTTTATGCCATTGTTTGTTTCCCTAGCAGCGTGGCCCTTCCATTTGCTTAGCGCAGTTGCGACATCAGGGGCGGAGGAACGCCGTCGCCCCCCTGCATCTCGGACGACGGCGAGAGCGTCATCAGGCTCCTCCAGGGCATGACGCCGGTTTCCCCTCCTTTGCCGCCGTCGGCAGCCGTGTAGGGAGGTCACCAGAGGTTCTTCGTGCTGTAGTAGGGAGAGCACCCTTCCCATTTTTCCTGCCCCTCTTCGAGTGCGGAGAATCCACACCCAGAATAATCACCCCGACAAGCGAAGCCGTTTAGGAAACGCACTCAAAGAAGGAGTCGAGCAGGGCAGGATTCTCGCGTAAACGCCCAGGGCCGTTCAGTGAACGCCAGGTGTCGTGTCCAGGTGTTTTTTTTCCTCCCTTGCCCTCTCTGGGCCGCCAGAATATGTTCGCATGCGGATATGGATCTCGACGTGAGTTGGGATCTCGAGAGGCTGTGGATATGGATAGCTGCCCGCCCGCGCGGGCGGGCACCCGCCCGCGTGGGCGGGCAGAGTTCCATGTCCACCGCTTCCCGAGTTCACGGGCCCGCGGTGGCGGAGCACCTTCTGGCGGCGCACGCCCTCCGCCCGACCCCCGAACCCTTTCCGATCTCCATACTTTCCCCTTCCCGCTGCTGGGGGCATTGAGGTCGCGGTCGTGCTAAAGAACTGCACCGATGCGGTGGGTGAAGAGAGCTTCGCTACGCCGATTGGCAATGATGGTTTCAAAATTGGATGTAAGCCACCTCGCCCTTTCCAGTGGTCAGGCGCATGTAACATGCCACAGTATGAAAGGAACGTATTTCTCGGTTCACGTTGCGGTACAACGATATTCCGTGGTGTACATGTCTTTCGTCATTGGGGGCAGGGGGATGGCTCACTTACTTTCGCTATTGGAGTGTTCGCTGAAACCTCTAGCCACCGGGCACGGGAAATCGAGCAATCATGATTCATGAGATATGTCTGGCTTGTGTAATTCATAGTGCTCACGCGAATTGGTGGGCATCGATATGCCGCTGTATTTATTTGGGTTGCACATGAGTGCACCACCGGCGTTGTCCCGCAAGTACCGTCGCATACACAAGCTAGACGCTGCTCTGCAAATAAGTTCCCAGGGCATCCCTTCAAAACCGCCCATGGACCATCATGCAGCATCATGCACCAAGCTGCCTTTTGCTACATTGCCTCCTCCTCCCATGCAGCCCCTACTCTGGCCCATACTCCATCGACGCATGGACAGCGTAGAGAGCCCCTGGACTTCTGCGGAAAATGGGATGTCATTTGAACAGCCTTGCATCCGAAGGCATGGGCGCTACCGCACGTTCCCTGGAGTTACAGTGGACGCCCATGCCATGAAACATCCTGCATGCCTCCAGGTTGCCCTTGGTTTCTTGGGCTTCGATGGTTTTGTGGTGGAAAGAGTGACGTTCCGACACCAACATTCAGTGGACGCCTTGGGGTCTTAGGGTTGGGTTTCTTGTTGGAGGTTTCTTGTGGACTGGCCTCCATTGTATATCCCAAGGGATGGGCTCATTACGAAGGTTGTCTCTTGACAAGGGCATCCGTTTCCTCAGTCCGTGTTCGTCCTCTGGTTGATCTCCAGCTCCGTGGCCGCGCATTTCCGCCCTCAGGTTGTGGGGAGCGCTTGGGCAGGGAGGCGCTTGGAGAGGGGCTCGCGAAGCGTCCGATTGTACATTGCGTGTGGCGGTGTGACGTCATATTTCGGAGGAGGAAAAGGTACCCATACCTCGACCCCCTCCCCCGCTTTCGAATTGTTTGAGCCTCCTGGGAGGCCCTCATCGCCACCGCTGGATCCGCCTCGAAATCCTTGTCAGAACGGACCCAGGAGAGGTCCGGGGAGCAGCGGCATCGGTACCTTGTGGTTTCCACAATATTCGTTGGGCGTATGGAGGGCCAAAAGTTCAGGAGCTGAACAATAAACAGCAACGCAGCATGAGAACACACGCACACACCTGGTGAGTTGTCTGAGCATCAAAGGGGGCGTGCCTGGTGCGGGCGGACAGTGCCGCCAGAAACCGAGTACGGCACGCGGGCACGGCACGGCACGGCATATTTTTCTGCAGTCCAGAACTCAGGCACGGCAAGGCACGCGAACACGGCATGGCGCATTTTCCGTTTTCTGGAGCCTCGACTCGGCACCGCACGTCTGTCACCTTTTAGACCCGGAGCGCCGCACGGCACGAGGCCACGGCACGGCACGGCGCGGCTCGAAACAGTGGAGACATGTAACAGCACTTGCGGTTCTGAGGGAACTTGGACGCGTGACGGCACCGTTGTGCTGGGGACACGCGCCGTTGCGCTGCAAGGAGCTGGGCGAAAGAATTCCAGGCTGCGGTAGGCACACTACGATTTACGTCGCAGCGCGGCAGGGGCGATCCGCTCGCGCACTCTAGTCAGCCGGAGACGCGCGGCAGATTCATCAACCGGCAGCAAGAGAGTGCAAGGAGGACGAGGGCGGCCGCAGAAAGCAGGCGGAGGAGGAGGAGGAGGCACTCACCGCAGAAAGAGGTTCAGGATGAGTGGCCGGGGCGGCCAGCCTGTGCTCGGGCGACCTGGCAGTGGGCGCGGAGCGGCATCGCGACCAAACCCAGGGGTTGGAGCCAAGGTTGCAAGCGCCGAAAGCGTGTAGCACGGCAAGCCAGCACTTCAGGAGGAGGAGGAGGAGGAGCAGCACGCGGGCCCAAAGCGGCAAGAGTGGGAGCATCCACGCGTCCGTCACGAAGCCGTAAGTGCCAGAATTTGCTGCGCAGGTGCGGCGCCAGCAGCATGCAGACACGGACTGAGCGTCCGTGGCGGGAGCCCGGGCTGCGAGTTCCGCGTTGCAGCAAAATGATGCAATGTTCATCCCACGCGCTGCAGAGCTGCTGGGCAACTGAATTGCCGCAGCGGCGCAGCGGGGCGAGACGCCACATGCCAACGCCAGGGGGGCCCAGGCGGTGGGGGCCGGCAGCAGCCACCGAACTTGCCGGCGCACGCATCACAGCCCGGCGGGGCGGGGGCGCCCGGCCACAGGGTTAGCCATGCGGGGGCGCCCAGCTGCAAGAGAGCAGCGGGGCGGGCGGCCCGGCGAGAGCCGGGGGAGGGCCGCCCACCGCGCAGCCGGCGGGGGCAGTGCGTAGGGCAGCACCCGGCGCGCAGCACGGTTGAATGGAACTTGCGCGAACAGCATGACGTCCCCAGCAGCTGCCCAGGAGCGCCACCTGGACACCTCCGGCACGCCACCTGCACTGTAGCAGCTGATCGGTGCACATACTCTCGCAGGGGGCATCCACCTTGGGGGTGGACGCCCCAGCCAGGAAACGAAAGAGAGAATCCACCGTGGGGGGTGGACGTTCCAGCCAGGCCATAACAAAACGAAAGGGAGGGAGGGCGCGCCACCTTGGGGGGCAGCACGCGGGAGGAAGCACCCGATCGGTGCACGGAAACCAGTTTTTATTGCCCCCCTTGCCCGGCGAGGAGCAGTGCCCGCGCCCGCGCGCCTAGGCCCGCGCCCTCCGCGCCCATGCCGAGCAGCAGTGCGACCAGCCCGGCGGCCCCGAGGCGCAGCCGCGCCGCCAGGCCCAGCGGCCGCTCGCGCTGCAGGCGCGTGGCGCGCCTTGGGGGGCCAGCGCCGTCCGCGGCGGTGCCTCGGGGACCGTGGCTGGGGCCAGCGGCGGTCGTGTCGCACGGAGCTTCGCGCCCTTCAACAAGCCGTCTTAGCCCAGACTGCCCGCCCCGCCGCAGCGGCGGAGCACGCTGCCACGGATCGTCCTTCCCGCGCGTCCCGTGCGTCGGCCTTGGCAGCGGTATGGCCGTCACGCCCCCCACCCCCCCCAGGTGCCGCGGTTTCTGCCGCGTTTGAGTCGCTGTCAGCGGTGCTGTAAGGGCCAGGGTCAGGATCTGAGGCGGGCAAGGTCGCAACAATCGCCTCCAGTCGTTCGTCTGGCCTGCCAGTCGAATCGCTGATCGCGACAGTCACCGTTGGAGAGCCACCAGTCCTTGGAGGGACTGGCGGGTTGCACCATCGGCCAGGCCCTTCGCTGCTGAGGTCGTCCCTTGGAGGGGACGACGCCGCACAGTGAAAGGCAGTGAGGCTTCCAGGGGCGCCAGTGATTCTCGGGCAGCCACGTGGCGGCGGCGGCCGCGCGCGCGCCCCGCACGCGCTCGGCGGCGGCGGGCGCTCCACCCCCGCCGCACCGCGGGGCCCCGCTCGCCTCCAGCGGGCCCCGCACTGGCGCGCGCTGGCGCCCCTCCGTGGCCTTCCCTCGGGCTCCTCTCCCGCGGCGGGAAGCACGGGGCCGGCCTTCGCGCGCGTCCTCTCACTCCCCCCCCCCACCGGCGCGGCGGTGAGGGGCGAAGGGGGGCGTTTTTTTTGTTCAGTCCTGAGGCCCAGCGAGGGCCCTTCGAGGCCGAAGATATCGCAAAACCTTCCGTCGCGATTTCTTCACAGCGCGGGGAGGTCTGGGTAGCCAGGGCGCACCGGACGCCATGCCCGCCCCCTCGGCTCCTGCTCGGGGGCGAGTCCAAGAACGGGGGCGCACACGTGCGCTGGGTCATCGACGCCCAGCGGCAGGCTGTCGCCTCACACCGCCGCGTCTCCCGGGCGGTATGGGGGCGTCAGGTGCCCGAGGAGGAGGAGGAGGAGGAGGAGGAGGAGGAGGAAAAGGTACCCATCGGTTGTTGAAAGTACGTGTTTGTGGATTCCCAGATTCCAGTGTACTCTAAGCGCCTTCCTACTGCAATGATCGAGTGGCTTCACCTTTTCCGTCCTCCTTAGGGGGCGGGCGGACACCCAATCTATGTTCAACGCCATCCTACTTCATGTCTCTACCTACTTCCGACCGATGGGTACCGATACCGCTACCCTCGCCTCGTTTTCCCTTTTGGGGGGCCTCCTGGAAGGCCCTCGTCGCCACCGCTGGTCAGAACGCACCCCAGGAGAGATCCGGGGAGTAGCTGTATGGGTAGTTTTGGGTTTCCCATGGAGGAGGTTCGAGCCATAGGCTACAGTCACACACAGACAGCGCTAACACACGCATACTCCCCGATGGTGGATCCACGTCTTGACATTTCGCGTATCCCCACCAGACCATCC